CTCCTCATAAGACCTCCTACTCTCTAGCTCCCTTATCTCCTCCTCCCATGCTCGTCTCCAGGGCGTCCCCCATCCTCTGGAACTCCCTACCCCAATCCATCAGACTGTCGCCTACTCTGCTCACTTTTAGGCGTGCTCTGAAAACCTATCTCTTCAGGGAAGCCTACCCCGCCCTCAGCTAATAATGGAATCCTCTACTCTTCCAACCACTCCACCCCCCACAGTTACTACCTCTTGTACCTCTATCCCCTCCCTCCTAGATTGTAAGCTCCAAGGAGCAGGGCCCTCGAATCCCTCTTGTATTGAATTTGTATTGTTACTGTACTGTCTCGTGTACTGTCTCCCACCATAATGTAAAGCGCTGAGCAAACTTTTGGCGCTATATAAATCCTGTATAATAATACAAATAAAAACCAGTGAATTTAATCCACACTTTTGCAGGCCATAGACGGGTCGTTTATGGGCCGAATTTTCATCCCCATGAAAAATCGGCTGATATTCACGCCGTTAGCGAGGCCAGCCCGTCGGCCATTTTTCGCGGATCTTCACATTTTATTTTTATCGGTCATGCTGGAAAATCCACGACAAACGGGCGGTTTTTGTGGACATTGATGGCAGCATCGGCAATGGAGCCGACTGATTGTTCGTTTATCAGCCGATAAACGGCCTGTCTATGGCCTGCATTATTCTACTCATCTTTTTTCTTTCTTTCTTCTATGAGAATCTGTCTATGAGGTCCCGTGTGTGGACCATATTTGTACCTTATACACTGGTGAACATTTGTACTGCAGTTTACATGCATAAATATAATATTGGAGTACAAATGTAAGCCGCCTGTGTTTTAGCAAAGGAAGATGCTAGGTGTCTTTCTTGAGAAGCTGCCTACATGCTAGCAGTAGCGCCATATACTGTATGCATTTAAATATTGTACAAACCTTCCAAGCGTACAGTGTATAGAGCTGTGAATAAGATCCTATGTACTGTTTGCTGTATTTTTTACAAAGCTGTGTGCTGTACATAAATAGGGTTTGACTTCTTCCAGTTCCGTGGATATAAAAAAATACTCATGTCCTTGCTTTAGGCCCCTTCACACAATAACATGGCAAGGTCACCCTGTACTTCCCTTGTTCCTCTGTTTACATTGTCACGACAGTGTTTTGTCCTTTTTTTTTTTTTGAAATGAGAGGTTGTCATTATAGTGTGCTGGGGTAGACAGTGCCTGATCTTTCACTGATTGCATTGCTACGGATGTCTGTTGGAGGAGTTTGGGGTTCAGTGATTCTTCAATGTCTCATGGGACCATCAGGTTGAGTTTTTTTTGTACAATGGTATCAAAACTAATCCTAGTAGGATTAGTAGTAGGAGTAGGATTATGTAAGTAAATATTCTTCCAAAAATAATCATTAACAAAAAAATTATAATTTTACCCACATTTAGCAAATGGTTATACTGTCCATGGAACTGGGACATGACATGGATCTTAAAGTGTTACTAAACCCACAACTGTAAAGTCTGTATATGCAGTAAAGCATGCTTGTTATACTCACTGTGGAACCTAAGGGGATAATCCTCCGCATTGTGTAAAAACTCTGTTTTGATTCTGTCTTCTTGATCCTCCCCCTCTTCCACATTCCCCAATCCATCTGCTGAAGGTACAAAGGACTAGGAGGCACTCTGCACATGCTCAGTTTGGTGTGTATTGTTTTTTTTTGGGGGGGAGGGTGCATGTGATTAGCACTGTCCAGACAGGGTCAGAGGTCATGCAGCCTCACTAGGACAGTCAGAGGAGAATGAAAAAAATGAAAAGAGCTACAAAAGTAATTCACATGTCCCAGAATGTTCCGCTTGAAAAACGCTAGTAATTTTTCAAGCATTTTTGAGGCGAACCAGTGTGAAAGCAGCCTAATGTGCGGTGGATGAGAGGTTTGGGAGCTCATGGAGGACACTACTAGGAGGCAGAAATCCACAGTAAAATGAATGATTTCATGAAAGGTAGATTACAGGGGCATGAAGTAGTGTATGTGAATGGTTTCTTTTTGGAAAATAAGGATATTGTTGAGTGTCACTTTAATAATTGTCAGCTGGATGGGATTTCTTCTTGCTAAACAAATCTGGAGTTGTGCAATTTCCCTGTAATAAGAGCTTTTGTAATCCTCTGTCTGACGTCCAATGCCTCCTACCTTCCAGCTCTGCACACTTTAAGACTCTTTACCATTTGAGACTTGTGGATGCCTGTGTTCCCTATGTGCCATGGTACAGTAAAACCCTCTATAGGGTTTTTTTTTTTTTTTTTTTTTCCTTTTTTTTCCCCAGAGGATCTCCTTAAATCTAGGTTCACACCTAAGCATTTTGCAGTGCGCTTTGCATTTTGCAGAAACGCACTACAGTCCATTTAACATGATTTACTATGGGACATGTTCACAGCTCCACAGTTTCACCCAGTGCATTTTTTTGGAAAGGGACAGGGACTTTTTTTTAAACACAAAACGTTGTGTTTTGGTTCAATAGACTTCAGTGGAGATGCTGCAGAAATGCATGTAGTGCGTTTTTGACGTATTTTTTGTGTTTTAATCTGTCCAGCAACAAGTTGGGGGAAAAAAAATGCAAAAAAAGCATGTGCAGAAATGCAAAACGCATCACAAAAAGCACTGCAGAAACAGATCAAACGCAAACAGCATAGGTGTGAACCTAGCCTAAGGCTCATTCACATAGCTGTTCCTGGCTGTACACCAGCCAGATCAACTTGTTTCTGTGGCGGGTATGTCCAGGTCTTTCCGACTGGCTGTGGCTGCTCATCCTATACAAATAAATGACAGGCTGAGAAGTTCCGCAGCTGTTGACATGTACATGGTGTGTTTATCTGCATGTTAGGAGCAGATGAGCGGCCCTGGATGTAAATCGTCTCCATATAGAGCTGCTTATCTGTCCTTGGTTACATGCGAATAGCCGCAGACACTGACAGCCTGTCATTGATTTGCACAGCTAACTGAACACATCTTGCTAGACTCACCATAGAAGAATATGCTAATCTGGGCAGTGTGCAGCCAGGAACACCATGTGAATTAGCCCTTCATGTGTATTCTGTGAATACTCCCATTTCCATTGTTACTACCCAAGACTGAACTTTAAACATCTGCTTTGTTCATGTCCATCATATGGGGGAAATAGGGTGGTCAATAGTATACGGAGAGAAGATGACATTTTATGCTTCTGGTTCAGCTCCCAGGAAGTGACAAGAACACTGCATTTCAATTCAAAGATCAACAGGTCTTTTCTGTACTTGCTGAAACGGTCTTAACCTGAAGAATGAAAACTAACAAAGACACCACATCAAATAACTAGTAAAATGCAAAATATTACATTTTTATTCTTGGGTTCAGTTTTTCTTTACAGTCTAGACCTTTTTGATGATAATTTATGTAACTTCTGATGTTGGCCATTGTTCTCAAAACAAGCTTATCCACTTGAAGACCAATCCTTTTCTGGCACTTTTTGCTTACGTTATTATTATTATTATACAGGATTTATATAGTGCCAACAGGTTGCTCAGCGCTTTACAATATAAAGGGAGACATGTAACAATCAGTATTTTTTGTTAGAAGTTTTTTTTAGAACACCCCCCCCCCCCCCCCCCCAGCATTATATTTTTTAAAGTAGAGGATCTAGAGAATACCTTGGTGGTTTTTGCAGTTTATATCACACAGTATTTGTGCAGTGGTTATTCAAACGCAATTTTTTGGGAAAAAAATACTTTCCTGAATTTTAATGCAAAAAACCATAATCCATAACCCATTTATTTTTAAATGTGGAAGATGTTAACCTCAAAAAAAATAAAAATCACTCTCACCGGTGTGAATTGGGGACATTTTATTGTTTGGACGTGGAGAAGGAACTCCTATATTAGGGATATAGATCAGGTTTATTGCCTAATTCAATGTTAAGTCATTACATTCTATATATATTGTTTGTATTGTCTTGGAAATCCGCTTTAAAACGAATTTCTCCTTACCGTGAGTTGGATGCGCAGAAATCCCCCATAAAGCTGTGCGAATCTCGCTTACCACGACTGCAGCTAAACTACACGATTCCTGCCCATCCAAATGGGTTAGCTCTGTTGAAATGTGGGTGATGGAGCTCCGTTACCCTAGAATCGTCACACGACACTCTAAGGCTAGTGTTGCAATTCACATAAGGGCCGGCTTCAGACTCAGCCCCCGGTTTTATTACAAGCACACACATGCCCCCCACATGAATAAAGTCAATCCCCTCCCACCGAACAATGCATGGGGAGTGCCTATACACAGGATGTACATTCCGATTGGAGCATAGCCTTTCCTATTATCTATCACTGGTCCTCCCCCATGAGCCTTCTGAGGTCAGCAGACTTCCTCCCCTTCCTCCCATGAGCCTTATGAGGTCAGCAGACTTCCTCCCCTTCCCCCCATGAGCCCTCTATGGAGAGCATATTTCCCAGCTCCTAGCAGTATGTCCATTCCCTGTACAAGCATCCCCTAGGAACATCAGTCTGTACCTGGATGGGCCCGATCCGATCTTTATTAAAACACATCCATCCAAGATACAGTTCAGATTGGTAATGGGTTGTAAGATATGCATAAGCCTACACGCGGAGTTCGTACCGTTTGGCGCCTTGCGGCACGGAGTCCATGTGGTACTATGCTGCTGATATGTGGATACAGGCCGCGGTCTACCTCCAGCGGCATTCGCATCGAATGCCGTGGTGGTATACACGCCGGTCTATAAGCGCAGATCTGCCATCTTATCCATTACCGAGCTGAGTACTGTAATACATACATTGTACATGCGCATGGCCCAATTGCAGCCTTCAGAGCTTTAATTAAGCCACACGAGAGACATATGAATAACACGAATATATGACACATTTAAAGTTCGACCAACAATACAAAATTTCCATGACAGTATGCAGGACCTGGATGGTGCAAGCTTAGATGTGGATTTCTACCTTATAGCTCCAGATGGAGATGTTGTATTGTCTGAGACGCGCCAGTCAATGGGGTCCACACGTAAGTTTACTAAGATATTCTGAGCAATGGGTAACATTGCTGGCCTTTTACATAATTCTTTTTTATCAATGCAGAGTGGAGACAGTCGAAGGAGATTATCAATTCTGCTTTTATAACACCTTCAGCCGACTCTCGGAAAAGGTAATCTTTTTTGAGCTCATCTTAGACCACATGAATGAAGAAGGGAATAACCAGGAAGACTGGAAGAATTATGCAGTGGGTGCAGATCTACTGGATATGAAACTGGAGGATATCCTGGTTAGTGCCATTTTCTTTATGTATAGTCCTCATTGTTTATATTATTACAAATGGTTATAGCTTCATAAAAAAGGTTTTCCAGTTTCCATAAAAAATATGTGAAAAGCCTTTTCCTTGCTTGCTTTATGTACATTGATAGGTGTTGGATTTTAGACACATATAATACTTCTTCTAGTGTCTTGAGGCGATTATGAATGAAAGAACCATTGAAATAAAAAATGAAGTGTGATTTTATTCTATCACACAATGGTGTAAAATAACAATGTAAAGCGTATTATGAACAGTTCCATGTAGATAAAACTACTGTAGAAATAACAAGCAAAAGTTTAAAGACAAAGTCACCATTATCTGTCATAAAAGTCCGGCCATGTGCTCTTCTGTCCTTCATGTTCTACTTGTCCTTCGAGACTTTGTGAAGAAGAAGCCGGAAGTAGACGGGAATGATGATCTTGTAGCATGCACCTGTTGCAGCTTCTCAGACGTGTATGTATGCAAGAGTGTCGTGTTAGCGTGTGAGTGTGTGTGAGAGAGTGTCCCTCTTGTCCGTTGTCTCATGGTCTTTTATGAGGCAAATTTACGTCATAGTTAGTGATCTTAATACCTTCTATGGAAATTATTACTGTTTAGCAAAGCCATTGCATAAAAAGAAGGGGATGCTATACATATGATGTTTGATGGACAGGAACATTTGTATGCTGATGTAAATAATATTATAAGCTAATGATGTAACCCTCAGCTATATATTTAAAGAATAATATAGCTTAAGAACATATCAATGTATAATCACTAAACTATATATGTATCAATGTTAGAAACGTATACTAAATACACACAGATACTATTAAAATACATAATGTAATAGTAAGTCACTTGTAATAACCTTGACATATACTACCAGCCTAAATATAGTATACTCAGCCTTCAACTGGTTAGCTTAAAGTAGAATTCTGGTCAAAATCTTACTTCTCTTAAAGCGGAACTGAAGTCGTCTTACAATAGACTTCGAGCAGGCAGGCTGTTATCACAGAAGAGACATGCAATGGGGTTGATTTACTAAAACTGGAGAGTGCAAAATCTGGTTCAGCTCTGCATGGTAACCAATCCGCTTCTAACTGCAGCTTGTTCAATTAGGCTTTTACAAAAAAAAAAAAAAACCTGAAAGCTGATTGGTTTCTATGCAGAGCTACACCAGATTTTGCACTCCAGTTTTAGTAAATCAACTATGGCTGAAACAACTAATCAACGTAATCGATTATGAAAATGATTATAATCGATTAGCTGACCTGCATACAAAATGCATAATTTGTTTACAATGTCTTGGAAAAAGTATTCATACCACTTGAATTTTTGCACATTTTTGTCATATTCCAACCAAAAACGTAAATGTATTTTATGTGATAGACCAACACAAAGCAGCACGATTGTGAAGTGGAAGGAAAATGATAAATGGTTTTCAAAATTTTTTACAAATATGTAAAAAGTGTGCCGTGCATTTGTATTCTCCCTCCAAGTCAATACTTTGTAGAACCACCTTTCACTGCAATTACAGCTGGAAGTCTTTTTGGGGATGTCTCTTCCAGAACAGCTGGAGAGTCTAGAGCAGCAATGGGCAAACTACGGCCCGGCGGACCTTTTAATCCGGCCTGCGGAGCTAGGCTCCCGCTAGGCTCCTCTCACAGTCCGCCCTGAAGACCGGTGTAGCATGAAAATCTGTCTCCTATGAGGATCTGTCCCCCTCGACGTATCTGCGCATGTGCCGGAGATCGTCGATCGGCTGCTAATGCCTGAAACTGGCACATGCACAGATACGTCGAGGGGGACAGATCCTCATAGGAGACAGATTTTCATGCTACACCGGAACGGCGCGGGAACACGGCGAGAGGAATGCGCGGAGCAAAGGTAAGTGAATTGACACAGGGGGGACTTGGGGACTTAATATGGGGGATGAATTAATATGGGGAATGAATTACTATAGGGGGGATGAATTATTATAGGGGGGATGAATTACTATAGGGGATGAATTACTATGGGGGATGAATTACTATGGGGGATGAATTACTATGGGGGATGAATTACTATATGGGGGATGAATTACTATGGGGGATGAATTACTATGGGGGATGAATTACTATATGGGGGATGAATTACTATGGGGGATGAATTACTATATGGGGGATGAATTACTATGGGGGATGAATTACTATATGGGGGATTAATTACTATGCTTACTATGGGGGAATATTACTATACTTACTATGGATGACACATACACATCATTCATCTACTCTTGGTCCGGCCCCCGGGTCCAATATATGAACCCATTGCGGCCCTCAAGTCAAAAAGTTTGCCCACCCCTGGTCTAGAGACTCTCTAGACATCTAGTTTTTTCCCATTCTTCTTTGCAAAATGGCTCAAGCTCTGTCAGATTGCATGGAGAGCGTCTGTGAACAGAAATTTTCAAGTCTTGCCACAGATTCTCAATTAGATTTAGGTCTAGACTTTGACTGGGCCATTCTAATACATGAATATGCTTTGATCTAAACCATTCCATTGTAGCTCTGGCTGTATGTTTAGGGTAGTCCTGCTGGAAGGTGAACCTCCGCCCCAGTCTCAAGTCATTTGCAGACTCTTAACAGGTTTTCTTTCAAGATTGCCCTGTATTTGGCTCCCATGAACTCTGACCATCTTCCCTGTGTCAAGGTCCTACCTTTTCCCTGAGGTTATGTTACTCCATGTGCTGGCGTCCATCTTGGATTCTGCTGTGCATGATGGGAATCCTTTTATGCCTTCAGGTTTCTGTGGTCCATCCCCCAGAGGGGTGTGGCTGATGACATATAAGCCTGTGGCCCGCACATGCTCTTTGCACTTGTGTCTTTGTGTTGCTATTACTCTGTTCTGACTCTCGTGACTCTCCTGGTATCTGATTAGGCTTGTGACTTGACTATTCTTTGTATTCTCCTTTGATCTGATCCTCTGTTGCTGAACCCGGCTCGTGACCTGTGTCCTCGTGACCTCGTCTGCTGTCCTGTACTGTTTTGTCCTGTTGTTGTTGACCCCGGCTTGTCTGACTACTCTTTTGTCTCTTCCACCAGCTACACGCCATTGGCGGCGGCCATTACCGCAGCTGAGGTGCCTCGGGGGCCGCGACCTGGTTCCTGGCTGCGTCAAGTCCATCCCCACCATCAGGGGCCCTGGTGAAGGGCAGCCTGGGACTTAGACTCCGCGCCCTGAGGGACGGGTGGTGGTTGTCGTCAGCCAGTGTGTTTACATTGTTAGGCCTGCCTGTCCGTTCCTCAGCTCCTGCCCTGACACCCTGTCCCTGCTGAAGAAAAGCATTCTCACAACATGATGCTGCCACCACGTTTCACGGTGGGGGATGGTGTGTTCAGGGTGATGTGTAGTTAGTTTTCCGCAACACATAGTGTTTTGCTTTTAGGCCAAAAAGTTCAATTTTGGTCTCATCTGACCAAAATATCTCCCACATGTTTGCTGTGTTCCCCACATAGCTTCTCGCAAACAGGACAACTTATTGCTCTCTTTTAACAATGGCTTTCTTCTTGCCACTCTTCCATAAAGGCCAGATTTGTGGAGTGCATGACTAATAGTTGTCCTGTGGAAAGATTCTCCCACCTGAGCTGTGGATCTCTGCCGCTCCTCCAGAGTTACCATGGGCATCTTGGCTGCTTCTCTGATTAATGGCCTCCTTGCCCAGCCTTTCCGTTTAGGTGGACGGCCATGTCTTGGTAGGTTTGCAGTTGTGCCATACTCCTTCCTTTTTTTTTTTTTTTTTCCCATTTTTGGATGATGGATTGAACAGTGCTCTTTGATATGTTGAAAGCTTTGGGATATCTTTTTATAACCTAACCTGGCTTTAAACTTCTCCACAACTTTCTCCCTGACCTGTCTAATGTGTTCCTTTGCCTCCATGATGCAGTTTGTTCACTAATGTTCTCTAACAAACCTCTTCACAGAACAGCTGTATTTATACTGAGATTAAATTACACACAGGTGAACTCTATTTACTTATTAGGTGACTTCTGAAGGCAATTGGTTCCACTAGATTTTACTTAGGAGTTTCAGAGTAAAGGGGGCTGAATACAAATGCATGCCACACTTTTCAGATATATATTTGTAAAACCATTTTATCATTTTCCTTCCACTTCACAATTATGTGCCACTTTGTGTTGGTCTATCACAGCCTTTCTCAACCATGGTGCCCAGGCACCTCCCTTGAGGTTTCTTCAGGGGTGCCTTGGCAATATGTCTAAAAGTTGCTCAAACCTTGTATACAAGCCAGTGAGTGGAAGAAGCCTGACATTTAGTTTCACAAAGCCACAGGTTTTCATTGTGTACCAGTACAACCTTCTATCCACCGGCCTCCTGACAACCAATGACATCATCCGTTGATAAGGAGAATGTCAGTTGCCTGCACAGCATCCTAGTTTGACTCTCCCCTCCCCTCTCCGTCTGTGCTGGAGTCACATTAGCTCAGTGATGGAGAAAAACTGAGAGAAACACTGGAATACTAGTCAGTACCAGTGTGCAAAAGTGTATTTGATTTGGGAGAATAAATCGATTCTAGCGTTGGGTGTCTTACATGTGTAGATGTTGCTACATTATATAAAACTATTAGAATATTATTTTACATTTTTAGAATGGGGTGCCTTGGGACTGTCCATAATTTTAGAGTGCCTTGAAATTGGCCATAATTTTAAAGGGTGTCTTAAACTGAAAAAAAAGGTTGAGAAACACTAGTCTATCACATAAAATCCAAATAAAATACATTTACGTTTTTGGTTGTAACGTGACAAAATGTGGAAAATTTCAAGGGGTATGAATGCTTTTTCAAGGCACTGTACATATCACAAATACAGTACAGCTCAGTACACCTTTCATACATGCCAGTATACACAGTGCAGCACACATACAGCTCAGTACAGGGCTCTGTGCATGGAAGATCAGCATCTGAAACCCCAGAGAAGCTGATAGACTCTAGGTAATATAAGGCATTGCAATAAAAGTTTTTTCTATTCTCTTCAACAAAACAAGGTTCATATGTGAAATAGAAACTTTAGGTGCAGTAAACGTTATAATAATAAGCTCTGCATTGTTCTTCTATCAGTTGACAAGATATCTTGTAGGAACAACCGGTCTATTTTGCACTTCTCAAACAAAAAGCTTTCAATTGTATATTTACCAGACCAAAATTGACCAAAGATTAAATAATTGTTAGGGTTTACATACCCTCTAACATTGCCATATTTACCAGGCACCATTATCGTTGGGGCCTAAATCTTGGTACTAACAAGGAGTTGTAACCAGATTATGGAACACCAAAATGACACAAGTTCAACATTTTCACAGCATACATACATGAACACACATTGTACTGCTGTCGATAATGCAATCTTTTATATATTCTAAAAGGTTTAAGGTTTCCTCTCTGGTTGCCATCCAGTAAGATTCCCATTATGGGTGTCCCAGCACAGGGTGTACATTTACATTGGTAACATGGTATTCTATGCACTTACTGTACTACCTCTCACGGTCTGTTCACCTAGAAATGAACCGCTAGCAGAATGGAGGAATAGTTTTCCTGTTCTCCTAAGTCTAGATTATAGTATCCACACAGGGTGGACAGACTGTCCTAATTACCTTTCAATGTACCCAGTTCCTGATCACTAGTGACATGAATGGGTGATATTGGTAAAAAAAAAAATGTTTTAAATGGCTGGAAAATCATTCTCCCAATAAAATGTACTTTTGAAAATCAAATCAATTAGAAGCAGTGGTGACTGCCCTAAAATGCACTAATTATATAAAGCAAACTTAAAGGATAAGTTCACCTTTTGAAAAAAAGAAATAAATAAATAAATACACTTCTTCCCTTTTTTTTTTTTTTTTGCAAAAAATGTATTATTATCAGGAATAATAACAGGAAGAATTGACTAGTAGAGCACTCACCAGCAGCTTGCTAGTTTATTTAGCACTACAAGCCATCAGCTGCAATGGCTTACAATTGTAGTTCTGTTCACCAAACTTGTGAATGAATGACGTGGGAAGAGCTCCACTTGACCAAATGTTTTCAAAATTGTGACCATGTGCAGTTAGGACCTGTTAAATGTTTCACCCTGGCTATCCTTTTAAAATTCAAGGGGCTGTTTCATTAATTTGCAGTCAACCCAATCATGTAATGATAATGAATCATTGTCCCATGTTCTACTAACAAAAGACAAACATCCTTTTGTGCCCAGTTGACAAATAATGGTATTGGCTGACCATACTGGCATGTTCCATGCCTACAAGTAAGTCCAAGTCCAACATGTCTGTTTGTTGGCTACATTTACTTTTCTTATCTACAAGACAAATTAAAAAAAAAAAAAAAAAAAGGGTGTAACATTCACAACAAAGATACAAAGTCTTGGAAATAATAGGAAGACGTGGCAGTAAACCAAACATACTGTCTCTCTGTCTTGCCATGCCCCGTGACAGATGATGTGTAAAGCTGGATGATTTTGCCATGTTGGCAGAAGGTATGCATTTTGAGAGGACAGCCTCTCAAATGCAGCTCAGACAGCTTACACAACCACGTCAACTAGTGCCTATTTGGTGGAAAGTACAACATTACTGCCAGTTTGCACCATTTCTCATTTTGCAATAAATTCTTAAAATACATATTTGCCAGTCAAGAAAACTTTGTAGCACTTTCTCAGATAAATACTTTGTGAGGAATGTCACCTCTTGTGGTCCCCACAGTTTTACTTGCAGTATTTGATTAGGCACTGGGATCCAGGAAAGTATACTCAACTATGTTGCAGCATAGCAGAGCCGTATCAACCTTCAAGATGTCAGGATTTGCACATGTTGGCACCCAGCCAGAATGAGTGCACTGCAAGGTCCTGCTTTTCCTGGCACTTGGCTTGCTAGTGCAGACTGCAACCAGAAAGCTTGCTTTGGAGGGAATATAGGGTCCTTTAACTCTAGATTGATCACCATTAAAATTCTGTGTCTTGAAGAAAATATAGACTGTATCCAAAATGCTTTTTGACCTGTTTAAAAGTGGAAGATTTTGAAGGATCCCTGTTTTCAACGTATTATTTTCTCTAGAGGAAGCCTAAAGACCAAATATAGAGAGCTGTCATTACTGATTTGCAGGTAAACATGCAGGCTACAGTGCAGTTATGCTGATCCTAGTTTTATTACCTGTGTGTCCTTCACCCACGCAGCCTATGAAGTTTAAAAGGTGGAACTCTCATCATTCATGCTTGTTCCAGATCAGTGACTTGCACTTTAAAATAAGTCAACAAGGGCAGGTCCCATTTGTATCCACACGTTGCTTTTAAAGAATAACTGTACTTTTAAAGTGTAAGGTGCCCTTCCATGCAGCTGTACCTATATTGGAGCCCAATTTAGCCCCATCTCATACTTGTACTCACCAGTCCCTGATCCAGCAAGATATTACTGACTAGATCACTGGCTGATTATCAAAAATCTTTTCAGCTGGGCTCACACATGCCTTCTGCCATCATATATCCCAGTAATTTTTTTGAGAAGAGAAAAGTAGTAACTGCAGAACAAGACTTTCTGACATGTCTGGTGGCAAGTACATGTTAGTGCTCTTTAGCTAAAGCTGAACTCCATGCAGATTTTAAACAAATTAAATAAAATGGTTAAAGTTATGTATGTATTACATTTAAAGAAATGTACTTGAAAAGCAGCTTTTGAAAGTTAATATAATCAATGTAATAGCATTGTAATCAATGTAATAGCATTAGGAGCTGCACTCAGATTGGGAGAGGGAGGGTCAGCACTAGAAGCAAATGGGTATGCTGGAAGTACATGTGCTTACAAGGAACATGCTGACAGGAGGAAAAGCAGTATTTGCATACTCTGGGGGCAGGAAGGTGACCTAACTTTAAACCTGAACTCCAGGAACTCTATTTTCTAAAATGTGCTGGCTTTCCATGGGTTAAGTTAAAGGTGCATGCCACCTCATTGACCCATTTCTTTTAATTTACATTTTTACTGAGCATCGGGAATACAGCTATTGCTACACTTCCAGTGCTTGGACCTTAGGGTCTCAGTAGCTTCAGCTGAAGGGTTGTATGCAGCTGCTCTGCCCACCCTTTCCCTCCTCTTCCCCAATCATGTAGAGCTTTGTATTATGTGAACCCATTCACAAAATACAAGCCTTCTGTGAATGAACATCAGAGATGGGCAGGCAGAGCAGCAGTGTGAGAAAGCAGGATTGCTCTCCTGTCAGAGCATTTGGAAGTACGCTGATGGCTGTACTCCCGGAGCTCAGTAAAGCCCAACCATACATGATTCATTTTTGTTTTGCGGTTTAACCGTTGGGTTGAACAAAAAAAAGCTGATTCCCCCTTCCACACGTGTTGATGTGAATGGGGGAATCCTTTTTGCTGAGCTATTGTATTCTAACAGCAGGGAAACTTCCCCACTGTCAGAATACAAGGATCAGTATTGCTGGCTAAAGCCAATGGCACTGATTGTTCTGCAAAAACCGAAACAGGGTGGTTTCACACAAGTCAGTTGACTTTTGTACAACCATTCTGTCCATACATGGATTGAAATTTGGCTGGTCCCTAATGGACCAGTCAAATTTCGATCCATGTATGGCCAACTTAAAACTGTCAGATGTAAATTAAAGAGACAAGTCCATGAGGTAGCATGACATCATTGGACCTGTAGTAAGCCAGCTCTATTTAGAAAGGTTGCCAAATTCCTGAAGTTCATCTTTAACATCAGCAGAGAAAATGCAGGCCACCAGCCTAATCGCTAAAACTATTCCCATACATGTAATTCAGCTGTCTATTTGGCTGTTTGGTTGGAGCTTTGCTTTGACCTTTTACATAGACTAGAAGTGATATTCATTCTGGTCACATCTCTTGCAAATACTGGGTAGTATATGGCCACCTTATAACTGCTGTGCTATGGTGACATGCATATCTCTTCCCTCTCTAGGAAACCATTAACAGTGTGAAAGCAAGACTGGGCAAAAGTCTGCAGCTCCAGACTCTGTTGAAGGCCTTTGAGGCACGTGATCGCAACACCCAAGAGAGCAACAATGACCGGGTGAACTTCTGGTCTATAGTCAACTTACTAGTGATGGTTGTAGTGTCTGTTATTCAAGTGTATTTGCTGAAGAGCCTTTTCGAGGACAAGAGGAAAAGCAGACCTTGATCACCAGCGTGGAAATGTGCCAAAATTATGGGGGAAAATAGACTTAATCATAAAGGGGACTTTGTTACACTTGGATGTTTTATTCCTTATTTTTTCTGCTACAGTTTTGGTCCTTTTCTGCCTCTTGGACAACTGTGGGGGAGGATGAACCTTCTTTTGCTCTTAAACTTCTTTCTACAAGCATCGTTGGACTCTGTGTACCATCTGCTGTCATGTCAAAACCATTGCATGGAGACATTAGTAGGACATTAAAACTATTCAAGGGCTACTGCAGTTTTGTCCAGCCTCGTGTATTAAAATGCACAAATGAAATTCTGTTTTTGTTGCTTATAATAGCAAATTGGTGCTATCCTTTTTTATGTTTTTAGCGCATGGGATGAAAAATCTTGCTATAAGCATAACAGCCCTTCTTTTGTATACTTTAATGCACGAGGCACTTTTGTTTTTAAAGGGCACGTTTTGTGAATCATTTACCTTTTTCTATACTTGAAGAAAAAAATAATGCTGTGAGATTATAGAGGTGAACATCTAATGCAATAATGCAAAATCAGGAGAGGAAATTCTGACCTACTTGTCCAGTAAGTCCTTTGTTGTGCCTTTTGCTCTTCCATATATAGAAGCATACAGATCACATAGAATTTGACTGGGGTTTTGGCATCTCTATAAAGTTAACATATTATTATAATTTCCTACATTTGATTTTATTTTTAGATATACTGATGATTGTTTGTGGATTAAGCAGTAATTGTATGTAAGTGTCTGCAAACCCACCAAGCCTATCTTAGAGGAATAGCCATTTTCAACTATTAGGGCAATAGCAAATCCAGGTTGAATGCTCCTCAAATGCTAATGCATACAACCCCTCCATGTTGTTGTGTGTGGGTTTTTTTTTTTTTTTATTATATTGAGTTGCTTTTGCTCTGGCCATGTCATAATTCTCGCATCACATTCAAGCAGGGTACTATTCCTGCTCTGGCTGGTGGGAAGGCCCTGCACCCTCCAGTGAATGGTGCCGTGTGATGTGTCATTCTTTGCAGCATATTCCTGTGAGCCCAGGGATGGTTGCTTTAAGTGTCTCAGGGGGTGGGTGCTTGATGCCCTGGGTTCATAGAAAGTGGGTGGAATAACACTGGGTGCAATTCAACACAGGGGAGAAAGCTCTGGAGCACTGAATGGAGGGGTAAACCTGCAGGGGACAGTCTTGATGAGAAGATTAGTATGGCAGCTAAAGTGGCTTTTTAGATTTAAAAAAAAAAAAAAAAAAAGTCAATTTTGCAGTAGCTGGAGTTGGGCTTTAATTATATTAAATATGTCTGACTGATTGCATTTGTTTTATGTTTCGTTGGCATGTGTGGCTGCCGCCCCTCCCTGCAATGACATCATTAGCTATATGCCCACTCATGTAATCTGACCAAGTTTTGCAATCTCTGTTCAAAGAAATCTTTTGGTTGCCAGATTGTACCCACAGGCTCCTTCAACCTTTTGGCCAGTTTGACAGTCCCCACAAACTTTACATAAGAAAAACTACCAGAGTGGAAGATGAGCCAAAGTCTATCACTCGCAGAAGGAGACTTCTTGTTTAGCAAAGTTCTGGATGCATTTCCAGTGTGCATGCCTGACTGCCCTCTAATATATATATATATTTCTAATCAATCAGCACAGAGCATGAACCTTACTGACTAGAGAGCTCTAGAACTCAGTAGTGGGTTTGTTGGTCTTTTTCAATAAGAGCGCTGCTTCCCCAGAGGGAGCAAGGGTCCCAGTCTGCAGTATGCTAACACATACTGCTAGCAGGTTATAGCAGCTTAAGAAAGATATTGACCTGTAAGTCTCTGAACACCTTGATTCACCTAGACTACATTGAGCTGGTTTAAACTTGAGGTTCACTTGGGCTTTAAAGTGGAACTAAAGGCTTTTTTAAAAGCTGGTATACACTAAGCCACGCATGCGTAGCTCAGGTACAAACTCCCAGTTTGATCAACTAAGATGACGGAGGACTTCACAGCCAGAAGAAGAGGTTAACAGTGGCAGCAGAGAGAGACAAGGAGTTTGTGGATGTTTCATTGTTGGAAGAGGGTGGTTGGGAGGCACATGTGCCATGAGGAGTATACTTGCACATTGCAGCAAGAGCCGAGGGGCTATATGCATTCAGTTCTGCTTTAAGGCTAAATACACACGTTTTTGGGATGACATTTTTGTGCCCTTGAGCAGTGTTTCTCAACTCAAGACCTCGGCTGTTGCTAACTGTACAGGGCTGTAATCAGTGACATTTGTAACGAAGCACAAAGGTTATATCTGTGAAGTAACATGGAACACATACTGATGGTGATCCTGGAGAATCAGGGTAGAGAAACTCGTATATAGGTTGTGGTGGGCACTAATTATATTGAAGACCTGTTCTAGATATCTTTTGATCTTGAGACAGAAGATTGTGTCCGCTGTTAAGTTGCACTTTACAAATCCAAACAGATTATCCAAAAGTATTTTGTGTTCTCCCCAAGTAAGCAGAAGAATGAATATGGGTAACTTTGGTCATTAACCTTAGGGGCATGTAGTTACAGCGCCTGAAATAGGTTTTGATACAATCAGTAAGTAGCTTTCTCCTGTCCCAGTTATTTATGAAGCATTTTTGAGTAGCGCCATTCAGGCTTTTTGTGCCTCTCATTTTGAATCAGTTTGCCGCTGTTATGAGACCCCAAAACCTGAGCTGCCAAAAAGACGTTAGCAAAAATGAATGTATCAACCAATAATTTTGGGGAGCTCCAATAAATAACTCTGGGGCACAATCGCAGATCCTGATCCACAGGTGGTATGTTACTAGAGGACGTTAATAGTGTCATATTAGTTTGCAAAAGGGTCTTTTGCGCATGGCAGCTAATACTCCTCTGTCTGCATTAGTAGTTGGGAAATAAAACAAATAATGTAAGGGATTTGTTTCTATTTGTGGTCCAAATCTGTTCACTTAAAACAGTCAAAGCTGCATGTAACAAATGTACTGTCTGAAGGAAATGTTTGTGTTGCTCATAGCAGACAATCAGAATCTCCCTTTTGTTAATAAACCAAAGCAAAATAAAAAGGGAGCAGCTGGTTGAATACTATGGTCATGAGGAATAATAAAGCGCACAAACCTTACATTGAAAAAGGCAAGCTGACTACCCATTTTGGCAAATTCCATAGTGAACTAGCTCTTAAAATGATTTTTGCAGCACTTTCTTCTATTTGTAGTACTCAAGGGTGCAGCAACATGTGAAGTAATTGTACGATATCGTATATTTAACATGAGCAACAAAGAACTGTCTGGTAATGGCTAATTTTACTTGCAGGGTATTTTCCCTGTGATGCACTAGATTTTTAGATGTAGATCAAACAATCTCCTTGGATATTGCCATCGCTAAATTTTTACATTTCTAATAAAACTGATTTCCTTACCCCAGTGCTGTTATTTTTTATTTGTACAAATTAATTTTAAAGCCAGTCTCTAAGTCAAAGTGCACAAGCTACAAGAACTCAGGTATTGTGTCTTGTAGGCTATTTTTCTTTTGGTCATAAACTTAACAAAAAGTTTATTTTCTGGGCTAATAAAAGCAAGTGAAAAAAATTGGATCAATGTGACAAGCATTCACCCATCCTTGTTGAATTCTGACCATTTAAAAAAAAAAAAATGTAATACAGTGATTTTGTTTCCTCCATCTAGTGGCCATGATGCTGTGCCTCAATCAGAAAGAACACACATTATGGTCATTGGATGGAGCCAACGATCATAGGAAATAACTATTATATAAAGGATGAAATAAATAAATATAGAAACAGTCCCCCTGTGCTCCATGGAATCTTTAATCAAAGCCAGCTGCTATCACCTTTTCCCTATACCATAGGATATGTGCAAATAACAAAAAATATATATTGTGATGAAGCGCTCAGCTTATACAGTGTATAAAAAACAATTAATACATAAAATCCCTTCTAAAATAATAATAAATATTGTGACGACAATAATGGATAAGTGCTCATATACACAAAATTATACAAAAAACATTTATGAATAACTAGTGCCAATTCTCACTCCTATTAAGCCACCTAGTGGTCAACAAAACCAAGTGAAATATATAATGAAGTAATAACACTTGTTCTGTGCAAAGTGACGAGTGTATCCAATAAAATAAATCAAAAAACAGTCCAAATAACATGTGATACCAAACTGTGCAAATAATAAGTGTTCAGTACACAGTGATTCACAACTTCACTCCATGCTGCAAACGTGCTCCTAGTGACACTCTGATGTGACTCCCCTGGATTTAGCCAAAATGCCTCCTCACCTTCCAAATTCGACCCTTGCGGGTCATAAAGCCTTAAGTGTAAAGAATCTCAGCCTGGTTTTTATAATCCACTGACTCCACCGACTCAATTAAGGTCCCCCTCTGAGCAATGAATTCCTCTCAGACCACTCTCCTCGCAATATGGACTCATAAATACAGGACGTATATGTAGAGACAAAGACAGACCTCCATAGTGCAACACTGTTTTTTAATGCACTTTAAAAGCTCCAAACAAATGAACACTCACATGTATTCTAATGGATAGACACAGTTTCCCATGTGATATGTGTAGTACCTAGGTGTGCTCCTCTACCTGGCCGGTCTAAAGGGCTGGCTGTCCGTCCATACATATGGGTTTTAGCTGAATACGGTCCCTGGTGTACTGGCTAAATGGCCCATAATCCAGGGAGCCCTGCTGCTGGTCCTCGGGGCAGCTTTTATCATGGCTAACAGCCTTGTCTGGGGTCAGGTGGGCCCATGTGAAGTGGGAATCTGCGTCAGCAGAGTCTATAGGTCAACACACTCGTGCAGTGCCAGTGTTTACAGTTGGATGGCGGAGGTTGGGTGAGATAAATGTAAAAATGCTTTGTATCCAAATGAATGCTGCATTGCTGGCTATTGTTGTGCTTTGCTCCCTACAGCTGCTGTGCATACCCGGAGCTCTTCCACAGAGTATTCTGCATA